TTCATTATATTTTTGAAAGTGTCATTGTATCATATTCTTGTTACATGTCTCTGATGATGGTTAATTTTGTCACTAGTAATCTTCTATTGCTAGTAATTTTTTTTTTCTTAAAAAATTATAACGTAGTTATTTTGATTGATAACATTTTAATTTTAATTTTAATTTTTTATTCTTAGTAATTTTATAAAAATTTTATTTATTTTCAATTTCATCATTCACTCTTAATTTACTAAATATTTTTTTCTTAACATTTTTATAAAATTTTTATTAGTTTTTAATTTTATTATTTAATTTAGAATTAGGTATTATATTTTTTTATCCTTATAATTATAATTTTTAATTTTTAATTTTTTTATAAAAATTATTTTTTTTAATTTTATCATTGTAGCATTATTTTTATATTAATTATTATTATTATTATTTTAAAACAAATTTATCAATTTACAAAACACGGTCACCAAAGCTGTCACTTCATCTAATAAAATCACCATGACCTTGCAAATGGGAAGCTCCATATGGATGAGTAGTCAATGCTTAAAAAACATTTTATTATTAATTTTTTTAATAAATCCTCTGTCTCGAAACAATGTCAAGCATTTCTCCATTCAAACTAACCACTCCATAAACTTGCTCCGAAGCTTTTAGGCATCTCAAGTAGTCTTCGTGTTTATGATATAAGTGATTAACTAATTAGTTATCTACTTAATTTGTACTATCGTCTTTTGAATGATTAGTGTAAAGTATAATTAACATGAAGAGTGCTGATCTTTAGTTATCTTCCAAACTGTAAAACTGGTAGCGTTTTGCTTACAGTAATTCACTAGATCTCAGATTTTTTATAGTGTAAAAAAACATATGAAGAAAAAGCAAGTTATTGACTCGGTTAAATTTAATAAATTTGACTAATTCAAATAAAATGAACCAAAAAAAATACAAAGATAATAAAAAATTAAAAAGCAAAAAAATAAATTCTTCTCTCCACATGGAACGAATGGCAGAGAAATGAATTTTACATGAAATGACATAAAATCCTGAGAAAAATAAAAACAACAAATGCTACACACTAAAAATTTAAAGACCTTTCACCAAATTTGGATTTAAATCATCTTTTAGTCACCAAAACTAGTCTCAAACACTGTCCTAGAGTTAGAGCAAATACACCTTCGGTTGTAACAATGGCATGATTAAGAGAAATTAGCAGATGTGTTTTTCAGAGATGTGAGAAGAAAAGGAGGAAGGAGAAGGTTGAATAATTTTGTTACGTAGGAAAGAGAGAAGGGGAGAGGTTGACGAAGAAGAAGACGGGTGAAAATGATGCTGTGAGAGAAGAGGAGAGGGTAGGGTCGGTTCAGGCGAGAAAGAAGGACGACTCTAGGTGAAAAGGGGTCCGGGACAATAAATGAGGAACAAAAACATGCTGTCACATCATCATTAAGAGCTAATTTAAAGTAAAATAATTTTTTTGAGTCAATCATTCCGGGTTGATATTTTTGACCTGGATTTTGTCCCGACCAGCTCTGTCTGTATCCGATTATAATAACTATGCACTTTTTGTATTTTTTTTAATTAATAATTTTATGGTCTATTAAACATTTGACAAGTCCAATAAATAGGTAAGACATCATGGGAATGACAGACATACCAAATAAAGAGGACCCAATAAAGACACGAAAGGAATAACTTTCCAGCCCCACTCCCACTAAGACTCAAACCTAAATTCAAAGGAAGAAGAGCTGCCCAACAACAACTTAGCCACGACTCTGTTGGTATACACTTCAAAAACCCAATAAAAATATGAAGGGAACAACTCTTCAATCTCACTTCTACCAGGACTCGAATCTAAATTTGAAAGAAAGAGAATTGCTCAATAACAAGTGAGCCACGACTCTGTTTGTATACACTTCTTTGTATTTGAAAATATAAAAGCTTGTTATAGTTTTTTTTTATTTTAAAATATATTAAAATAATATTTTATATTTTATAAAAATTATTTTTAACATTAATATATTAAAATAATAAAACAATATTAAAAAAATAAAAAAATTAATTTGATGTAAAGTTTTCTCGCAGTAAGAAAAGATCTGCAAATGCCTTTCAAGGATATAGTTACATCATCCAAATGTCATTCGAAGAACTGCCTGATTAAGTTGATGAAGCCTGATGATCCATGACAGGGAGGGCCAATCACTTGCCAAACAGATTAATGGCGTCCGGTTGCCCTCGTCCTCCAAAAGGAAGAGGAAGAGGAAGAGGAAGAAGTCTGGCTTGTAGATGAGCTTGCTTGTTGACACTTGTATAAGCTAATTTCTTTTTTAACCTTGCTAAATGAGGCAGCAAGAAAAAAAGGACACCATGAACAGCATAGCCTGAACGGCAAGAACATCCATCTATATCTGAAACCTCATTTAATACCTTACATTAAAAAGTAATTAATTGCCTCCCAATTGGACTAATCTAATTTGCCGAAACTTTCTAGCAAACTTTAACAGACTCAAGCACTTTAAATGAAGAAAATCAAAATCTTACAATTATAGTTATGATCTACAGATGAAAGTGGAAGCAACAGAAATTAGAAATTGTTTATTTGATGAAAAATAATTTTTTTACAAAGTAAATTTTTTAAAAGTTAATTTTAAAAAAATAAATTATTTTTTGATATGTGGTAATGTAATGAAAAATAAACTGAAAAATATTTTTCAGTATTTGATTGTATTATGAAAAATAACTTATTAATTTTATATTTTTTTAAGTTTATTAAAATAATTAAAAAAATATTAGAAATTAAAAATTTGAATGATAATAAAATTGAAAAAATATAATTTTATAAATTATCTCATATAAAATAAATAATAATCAAAATAATATAGATCAAATCTAACAAATAAATAAATTGAAAGATAAAAAAATTAAAATAATAATAATTACTATTTCATAAATTATCTCAAATAAAAAAGTAACAATTAAAAGAATGAGAATCAAATTTGATAAATAAAAAAATTTAATTAAAAAATAATAAGAAAAAAACAAATAAAAATTATAAAAATAAGGACTAGAATTAATATAAAAATCAAATTTTAAGAGATAAATTTGAAAAATACTCAAAACAATATACATAACAATCAAAGTTTGAGGACCAAGTTTGATGTAATTAGTAAATAATATGATATTTCTAAATTTTTTACAACTTCTGAAAAGCGTTTTGTGCTCAAAATAAAAGAAAAATATTTTATTGAAAAACAAGCCATTTTTTTTTTACTGAAAAATGTTTTTCATTGATCAACTATATTAACAATAATTAAACACAAGAAAATTTAAAAAATAATTTTTTAAAAATATTTTTTTATCAAACAAACAAGATGAGTGTTTGACCATTTAGCAATTTTTAAATATATGTTTTTTATTTAATTATATGTTGATTAAAATAAATATTTGTAAGAGTTTAAAATATTTAAATTATAAAAGAGAAAATGTGTTTCTTAAGTTGAAGACCTCATTTGTTATTTGTGTGTTTTTTTAGTTTTGATGAAAAAACTTATTTTTTAGTAACAAAGTTATTTTATAATATAAACATTTTTCTTAAGTTGAAGACCTTATTTCTTATTTGTGTGTTTTTTTAGTTTTGATGAAAAAAATTATTTTTTAGTGACATAGTTATTTTATAATATAAACACAATATAATTAAAATAAATATTTTCAAGAATCTCAAGAAGTGAAAATTTTTTTGCGGAGGCAAAATTCACATTTCAAGAATTTTTTTATTAGTATTATGTTTTTTTAAGCAAAAAGAAATATCATAACATAAAAAGAATTTTTCAAAAAAAAATAAAATATCTTCATGGTTTTTAAGCGGCTATATGAAAAAAATTAAAGAATAATTAATTCATAAAAACCATATAAAAATAAAAAAATTATTTAGTTTCCATTGAATATTCATATGAATTTCTTACAATTTATAACATAATAGGCTCACGTGTAATTGTTAAAAAAGTTATTGCAAATATAATAAAAGAAGGATCTAGTCTCATTTAAAAAGTATGACATAATTTTTTAAATGGCATAATAATTATTAATTTAAATAATAATTAATTTTAAATCTAAAAAAAAAAAAGTTTGAAGGAGATTTGAAGCCAAACCCACGCGGTTAACCTCAGAAAAAGAAATGCATGTTTGCCTGCATACTAATAGGTTTCGGATGAATGATGTGATGTACGCTCCATGTAAAACAATTTACAATCACCTGTATCGTATGCTAGAATATTTTTTATTTATTTTATTTTATTAATTAATATTTGATTCATTTTATTTTTATTCTAAGCTTGATTTTTATTTTTGTAATTATTATTTATTTTATTTTTAATTTTTTTGTTTGATATTTTTTTTATTTTAAATTAATTTCTCAATATTTTATTAGATAAAAATTTAGTTTTATAAATTTTTTAAATCTAATTTTTATAAAATTAGTCTTGATTTTATAACACTTGTCGCTAGTTGTATGTTGGTTTTGATATTTTTTTTAAAAATTTATTGAAAAAATAATTTTTTAATTATTTTAATTGAATTTCATAACTTTTTAAATTTGTTTTTTATAAAATTATTTTGTTTCTATATTTGAGTTACAAACTTAGTGAGTTACCTAGGTTGATTAACATATTTTTTTTGTTGTTTTATTTAATAATTTATTATTATTTCATGATTATGTTACATATTTATTAAGTTAATTTAAGTAAAATTAAATTATTATTTTTTAATTTTATTATTTAACATTTAATTTATTGATAATTTAATTTATTTTAAATTTATTATCAATTGATTTCATTGAAATATTTTAATAATATTAAAAGAATATCTTCCCATAATATTAAAAAATATTATTTTTTAAATTGATATTTATATATTTTCTTAATTCGATTTTTATAATTATTACTTTTTTTATTATATTAATAAATTAATCAAGTCATGCTCCTCCGAGTCTCAAATTTTTATCCTCAAAATCTTTTTTTACGTTGGGACGCGCGGGAACCAATGTGGTAAAAAACCAAACTAAAGCAGCTTTTACTTAATCTGCAACCAAACCAAACTTAACACCCACGAGTTTTTCATCTTCATCAACAACAGCAACTCTTTTTTCTCTTCTGGCTTCGTATTCACAAGGTTAGGCTCGCACCTATTGATTCACTGTACTTGATTTTCCTAACTTAGCATTGTAATTTCTTCGTCTCCTTCTTGAATTATGCAGTTGGGTTTGATTTTTCCTTTATTCTTTTCACGTGGTGGGTTATTGATGTCGACAAAGATGGCTGAGTTAAAAGTTAGTTCTTTTTGTTTCAGTGAAGTCTTAGATTATTGTTGTTTAGGTTTCAACATGGGCTTTTGATGTTTTTGAATAGATGGTTGTTATTGTTGTCTGAAACTATTAGCTTAGGGTTCGTGTTGTGTAATTTTGTTTTTTTTTTTTTTAATTTACTTTGGGGTTTATTTTGGATAATTCATTTCTGTTAATAGTATACCATGTACCGTGATCATTTAGCCCCCCCCCCCCCCCCCCCTGTTTTTTTACTTGGGAAAAGAAAGGGGAAAAGTTAAATATTGTGTAAGTTTAGTTATGGATTGAAGCTGATATTCTCATGGACCTTACGTTTTGAAGAATTGAAAAAAGGGTTTTAGTTGCTATGTTGTTGATCGGATTAATGCATGCAAGTTCTCATTTCCTAGAGGGGTGATGGGCAAAGACTAAGGATTTTTACTTATTCCTTGTGCTGTTTTCAGGAGGAATGGCGAAGAGTTACTTCAAGCAAGAGCATGGTCTTGGTATATACTTTGAATTTTGTAGGATTTTTTTGTTTTGATCATGGCAAATTGACGAAAAGTGTTGACTTTTTGTTCTTTTACTTTTTTCTTTTCTTCAGAGAAGAGGAGGGCAGAGGCTGCTAGGATCAGGGAGAAGTACCCAGATAGGATTCCGGTGATTGACCAATGATAATTTCCTCTCCCAATTGTTGGTCATTGATTCTCATGCGTGAAATCTTTTGCATTAGAACCAATAATGAGATTATTATTCTTCTGTTTGTAAATTGGTGTCTTGTATCTCCATTTATTACCAAGGTTGAATATATGGTGGAAAGTTGGCTGCAGAATGGTGCATTACTTTCCATGTGGACAATATATTTCCGGAATTTATTTTAAAAAATCTTTTGGGGTTTTGACAGTTTAACACATGAATATGATGAAAGCCTTGAACAGTAGTCTTTTGTCCAAATAATCTACAACAAACTGCTTCTGCTTTTCTATGGAACCAGGTTGAACAATGGGTTAATTCTGTTTGCAATTATCATTCATAGGGTTGCCTCATGGGTGTTATTTACAATAATTGGTTGGAAAGTTTTAAAAACGAGGAAATGCAGTAGATGATGAATGCATGGTGCATTGCACAGAAAGTAAAAAAATGGATCTGCTGCATGCTCTGGAAACTTCTCTTTTCTCTGGGTTGTATTGAAAAGTGCCATATATTTATGATCTGTCTTTGTTCTATTATGTAAATAATATTACTAGTCAGTTGAATTAAGTTTCTTTTTTTTGCAGGATACAAAACTTGATTAAAATGTCTCCCCTCAGAAAATATTTCATGATTTAATCTCTGACTTTACTTTCTAGTTGCTGTATACAATTGCATGAGTTGTGTTTGTTTGTTTTTAAGGTGACCTGTCTCTAATTGTGCTTGTTTGTTTTTAAGGTGATCGTGGAGAAGGCAGAAAGAAGTGATATACCAAACATAGACAAGAAAAAGTGAGTAGAGTGGATAGCTTTCTGATTTTCTTCATATCTCAACTTTGCCACCATTCACATGAAGGGGAACCCAGCACAAATGATTTCTAGTTTCTTTGACAGCCTATGAGTATGCATGTGGGAACACACCACCCATTCCTGCAGGTTGCTAAAATATAACCTAATGCTCTTAACCTGCTAGAACTTAAAGATGATTAGAAAACTGACGATTGCAAAATTGTTTTTGCATGAAAGGGAAACACCATATAACCTACAGTTTCTACCTTCATTATTTTCATTTCTGATTGCCAGAATATACCAGAGGTATCCCCGCCACATCCCCCCCCCTCCCCAGACCAGCCCTATAACACCTGAGCACCTTTATATCATTGTGTCACTGGAATAGTTTATCTTACATCTTTTTTTATCACTGTGGGATGGTCTGCCTTTCCATCTTTTAATTATGGCCTGTTCTCAAGTGGTTTAGCCCTAGAAAATATCTATTTTTTTTATTTTTTATTACTGGGATTTTGATAAGCTGCTATGATTAATGGCATTGAGCTTTCTCCCTATAAGCTGAACCTGAAAATTGCAGGTACCTTGTTCCAGCTGACCTGACTGTAGGACAGTTTGTCTATGTTATCCGCAAAAGAATCAAGTTGAGTGCAGAAAAGGCAATCTTTATATTTTTGGATAATGTCCTCCCACCCACAGGTAAACTCTTGCGCATATATATAGTCTTTCTCTTAAGATCTTGTCATCAGCCTCTGGATCGGTAAAGGTGCATGACATTTTCATCTGTTTGCTGTTTGCAGGTGCTATCATGTCTGCCATATATGAGGAGAAAAAGGATGAAGACGGGTTTCTCTATGTTACCTACAGCGGAGAGAACACTTTTGGGTCTCAGATTCCACTGTAGACATCTGTGGTTGCCTCGTTTATTTCCTGGTTCCACCAAATTATCTGTCATCACTATTGTCTTCACCCCCTCGTGTCAATCGCTCTTTGTTCTGCCTAATTGTAAAGATATTTGCAGTCATGTATATAAGCTTGACGAACCCTTTCATTCCCAAGTCATCGTTTAATACTTCACAAAGGGCTTTTTAATCGAGTGGTTTCGATTTCAGCCTTTATCTTGAAAATAAAGCAAATATTAATCAAATTGAAATGTCAAAACGAGGTCAAGTTGGTAGACCCCAGAAGACGGTGAATATATCGAGGCCTTAGTGACAGTCCGATGCCAGGCAATTCAGGAGGGACGGACTTTCGATGATGGCTTATGTGCCGTCACTTGGAAAAATCTCTGGTGTATTGCGGTTCACGCTCTACTGTTTGTGTTGTGGGTCTTGCTAATGGTTCTCACGGTTGTAACAATGGCGTACTGGGCTTCCATTGTCGTGGGATTTTGTCCTCTTGTAAAATCAGTATAGACTATGCAGTGTAGAACTCCTTATTATATAAAATAAATCTGTGCAAGGTGATAACACAGAAAATTATCAACAAATTAAAACCTGAAATCCTTTAAAAAATTATAGAAAATCCTATTTTCCTTGCATTATTTCATTTCTTTCGACAAAGCCCTTATCATTGTTTATTCAGTGTAGCTTTAAATGTCTTTCCCTCAACTTGCAACCGAATACAGTGTCATTCATCTGTAAGCTGGGAAGAAAAAGAACTAGCCACCATGTAAATTCTATCTTTACTCCATTTAAGAATCGGGGAAAGCAACAGAATGGTGAATGTTAAGCATTAAGAGTAAATTCTTCAACAGTTTTGTTATGTATATTGTCATAAAACGAACTCAGAAATTAGGTTTAGCCGTTTACATGTGGTATTGATCAATCATAAAGGATTTAACTGTGACCTTCAATATTTTTATTTGTTTTTCGAAACGAAATGGAAATTGTACGAGCAACTTGCAACGTTAGGATCATATTCTTCGGAATGCATTGCAGATGTTAAACGAAATTGTTTGGCAGGTTTCTCCTCGTCAATTGGATGTCCACATCCTTCCCAGTTGTCTAGGTCAAAGCTCCCTCTCCCTGCTCCTAGTTAAATTGACCCTTGAGAAAACCATGAAACCAAGAGATCACCACAACATGATTAAAACACATTGCCTTGCTTGGGCTACCAATGGGAGGCCCAAGATTCTGACATGGTAATGCCGTGTTTATGTGAATAGCACATGGTTTACCTGCCTAGTTGATGCTCGTTGTAGGCGGTGAGAGAGGGCTTCGGACCCTCTCATGTCCCATTGAGGAGGTGCAAGTTATGGTCTAGTCATGCACCTTTGTCGCTCCAATTTTCTGTCCCCACCTATGTCCCTAGTGTTTCAACTTGCTCTTGAAAAGATTTAAGACACCGCTCTCTGATCAGGCCAGGTTTCACTTGGTTTTATATGGACGTACCATATCCATACATACTGCATAATTAACTCCTTTTAGCATTGCAGTATGGATTAATCTCCAGGAAAGAAAAGAGAGAGAAACAATCAATAACACTTAGCATGGATAATTAATGATATTAAGAATCAGAGCTATATATCAATATCATTGAAAATTAAAGAAATCGATGTGAGGAAAAAAAAAAAAAACCTTAGTCTGATCAAGTCGGTGACAGGACATTGCCAACTTAAATGGTGATATATATGAAACAACAGCTGTTACATATATGATGTTTCTGTTTGCTTCTGTGAGTTCCAAACAATGCCATGAGCTGAGTTTTCTTTTATCTAGAAATGTCATGAGAAGCCAGCAGCAATTGGTAAACAAGAACAGAAAGCATATATTTTAAGGACGATCATGTTCTATCGATGCCTCCCCGTCACCGCCCTTCTTCTCCTTCCATTCCTTTCTTTATGTTTTTTTTGGTATTCTAGCAAGTGATATGAGGTCTATGCTCATATATCCTTCATGAAATCGTGTTCTGTTTCGTGCGTCGGCGCAGAAAATCGTTATATTATGCTTGTTTATCAATTAATTAATTATTATCAGCTAAATTAATTCAGAAATGGTCATGAATAAAATCGAAATGAAAATGAAACTAATGAAAGACCGCTGCATTGTTAATATCATGCAATGTCTGGCCTAATAAAAAGGGAGTAATAATTATGCACAGTAAATGGTCATGAACATTGACTGGTCACCCCTTTCACAGGTTAGATTAAATTCTCCATGGAAATAATGTCAACAAAGATCAAAAACGTTTGTCTCAACTGACAAGCCCATATGCAGTTAGTAAATCCCATGCAGAAAATAAGACAAGGAACGGAATTCCTCTGTAGAAACACATGGGTCGGACCTATAGATTTGTTTTTTTTATATTGCTGTATAGAGCCTCAAGTGTATCATGTACTAGTAGTTCTTAATTTACCATGGTGGATCCTATACATGCTGATAGAAAATAGAATCGCCCAACTTGTTTTCTGGTAAGAAAAGAAGAAGAAGAAGACGTCTTATAGCTTCAGATGGATGCAAGAAGGCATGCAAAATAACTTGATCGTCTGCAATGTCAACCTGTTTAAATTATTTTCCCTGGAATATTGTTCCTGCAGATCAGCAGAAATTAACATTACTCGTGCTAAGAAACCATTAGACTAGCTAACTGGTTGTCTTTGAGTTACAACATAAACAGACTGAGAAATACTGTTGGTATATACATTAAACATATATTTTAAAATTCAAATTTGAGGAAAACCACCACCACCACCACCACCACCACCATGCACATTTTCATTATGTGGCTCTCTAATGAAGTTATCTATTTTCTTGGTTCTCCACGATTGATTTTAAATGTGTGTATGTGTGAGAGAGAGAGAGAGACAAAGGAGGCCCCCGAATATCTTCGATTTCGTTTTCAAGGTTCATCACCCAAACATTTGCATGTTCTCTTGTAGAAAGTCTCCCAGACCATACAAAACCTGCATTAAATGCTCTTGCTACTCCAAGCATTACAAATACTTATGAGCCCTGACGGTGAACTCACCAAACAAACTTTAACAATTATTCATTCTGTGACATCGATTTCCAAGATCATCTCTCGCCATGTCTACTCTCTTTCTTTTGCTTCTCATCTGTCTTTCTTTGCATGCATGCAATGCTCGCTTTCTTCGCCTCACTGACAAGGAAACCAAAAAACAAGTCCTGAACAAGGTTATTGATATAAAAAATAATAAAAGTGAACGTATACATTTAAGTTCATTTTGCTTTTATAAAACATTTCAGTTTTGGTCTATACTTTTTTACGTCCACGATAATTGATGCAGTCGGATTTTCAGGATTTGGTGCAAGATGTCGATAAACTGAATATCGATAGAACTACTTTAGCTCCATCGGAGATGATGCCTCCAGTTTCAGAGGAGCAAGGAGCACAAGGACAACAAGTAGTTGGAAGAGATGATACAATTACTCGTAAGATCAGTTTACTTAGTGCAACCACTATGAAAAAGAAAGACGAAGAAGCTTTTATGAAGCAAGAAGAAGGCACAAAAGGAGCAACTTCAGGTAATTTTCCAACTCAGAATGCAACCTACCATAAATAAAACATATACAAACAAACCCTTACAATAACAAACGCGATAGCTTGGCCTAGAGGATCCTAGGTTAGTCTTCAATGAACTAGTAGCATTGTCGAAAATCAATCATGCAATTCAAGTTCTGTAATCTACTTATTCAGCTTATCTAGGGTTCCAAATATTTAATACGGTATTGAGTCTCTTCAAGTACCCCTAACTAGATCTTAAGATACCCATGTCTTTGCTAAAGGAAAAACTAAATCTTCTACTCAATAATCTATGGACATGGAGAAATGATGTCTAGCCTTTGTCTTATAAATATTTGTTCAATGCTTACATGTTAAAAGAAAGTAATATGCTCTATAAAACTGCTTTCCTATGTGATAGTAATTAATGTTTTACCTGCAGGAAATAAAGTTATCGTATCTTCACAGGCTGATTTTCAACAGTCGTCTAAAATAATAATAGAGGTGAGTTAAATACTCCATGATCATTAATTTATTAAAGGATGGTTTTTATGGTTGCTAGGCTGTTATGTTCTTGGTGTGGTACTGACCAAGACTCATGGCCCATCTTCCTCGCCATGCCCTCCATCAGGATGGCAAGGCAGATTGGTTTGCTCATGCATGCACCATACAAGCAATGAGATCATGAGTAGCATATAGTACGAATTTGCTTAATTACATGCCGTAGCTGATCTTCAATAAATTTTGTATAAACATGCATTTATATTTACATATAATAAATGTCAAGGATATTCAATTAAATGGATGTTTATAGAGATGTTAATTTGGTTGATTGTTTGACCAGGGATTGAAGGGCCGAGGAAGATCTATGCTAGGATCAACAGCAAATGATACGGAGGAAGCTGTGCGATCTGAGGAAAATGACTTTCCCAAGGATGTAGCTGTCATGGATTATGCACAACCCCATCGGAAACCACCCATCCACAATAAAAAACCCTAGGCCAGTATATATTGTGATAATACATGTACTTAAATGGCTTTCTCCTCCGACCCAGCTCCTCCAAATTTCTGTTTGATGGAAGATGATCATATTTCCAAGATTTGCATGCAATAATATAAAAAAGATCAGAACAAGGTAAAAAACAATTTTCAAGAACACTTTCATATTTTCTGCCAGTAATAAGATCAGTGATACCTGTGGTCGATATTGTTAAGCATTTTCGTTAACAGAATATTCGTCTTCTCTACTGGTTTAAAAGGATCACTAAAGCCTTCATTATACAACGAGCTAGGGGCAGCGAACTCTCTCAATTTAAAAACCCTTGCAATATTCATTCCAACCGAGTTCTAAAGCCTTTCAAAACATGGAGATAGGTCTTAGAGACATGCCATAATTTCAATTTTTAGATGGTGGCTTCTTCGATCTGTGACTGGACAACAAGGATCGATGCCCTAAAAAGTCTAAATTTCTGACATGCACAGCATCAGCTCGCTCCAACAACTGTGTAATGTTTCAGTGGCTAGCTACTTTAAATGAGGTGGTGAAGTGATAGAAGATGTGAAAAGATGGATGGAGGCCCCATTCACTGTATTTTACGCTTTTGCATTAATGACATTGGTGAATAAAAGGGACAAACTTGACATGGATTTCTCGCCATTGTTGACATGGTGTTGGTTGGTTGGCGTTTCTAAAATGAAAGCAATCGTATCTGTTGCAGTTTGATTTTTCAGTTTTCTCTCTCCGTAGACAGCTGCAATAAGGTGAAAACGATTATACGCAAACGTCAAGTGATATCAATTGCACCGACGCATGGGAACGAAAGGAAATTCAGCTAACCTCCAGGAGATACCATGAAGAATCATGACTGAGAACCCTCACCTCCAGGCTCCATGGATACTGCGAGGACCCGTGCAATATTGCTCCTCCCATCATTCTTGTAAAACCTATTAGGATTGGTGTTCTACAAATTGTGAAGGATGATGGTAATACCTAGTGGGCGAAGTTGCCAGTAGTGCTCCATAAAGATGCTCCTCTATAAAAATAATGTGCTCCATTTACCAAGATTTTAAAGGGATTTAAGCATTCGCATTCAAAGCAACATGGGATCATGTTATAGTTCTAGATTTCCCCTGGATTAAACAAAAAGAGGTGAGAATAAAAAAACAGTACACTGAACAGGCTCACATACGCAGTATCAAGGATGATGCAGTTGAAACTATCTAGCTGGTGGTCAAATAGTAAAGTTGCCAGTAGTGCTCCATAAAGATGCTCCTCTATAAAAATAATGTGCTCCATTTACCAAGATTTTAAAGGGATTTAAGCATTCGCATTCAAAGCAACATGGGATCATGTTATAGTTCTAGATTTCCCCTGGATTAAACAAAAAGAGGTGAGAATAAAAAAACAGTACACTGAACAGGCTCACATACGCAGTATCAAGGATGATGCAGTTGCTGTCATATTGGCAAAAGTAGACTTTCCCCTGCCATAACATTAGCTAGAAACAAAAATTAATGAATTCGCTACAGATCTAAAGATCTTCCAACGGAATTTCAATCCCAAGAACCAATGAAGTGCACGGCAAAAGTTTCTACTTCAAATATCATTACTGTCCTAAAAAGAAAAAATAAATCCCTGTAAAAACGTGATGGAAATGTCTTCTTCATGTCCTGAATAAATTCCAAGGTCCTTATCGCCAGCTTCAGAGAAACCTCTCCGCCACCCAACAAGAAGAAATCAGGATTGAGTCTTGCAATTGCTTACCTGAGATCAAAACTCTTCAATCCAATTAGTAAGACAACAATGATAGGCATAATTCTCTCACCTCATGCATATCTATCCATACGCTTGTGTGTCAATCTTTCAGGATCATCCCCTGCTAATCTCAAATATTTTTGAAAGACCTCATCTTTCCCTGTCACAATTTACGATGTTCCTTGTACAAATATATGTGCAAAATCACGGAGACAGATATGCATCTCTACAGCTGTTTGCAGTAAATATTCCCGGCTAGCTCAGGCCTTTATCTATGCGAGCAACTCAACGTTAAGTGTCATCCCGAATTTTATTTTAGTGTCGGACTGGCAGAAAATCATTGATCTTGGCCACATTAGAGTGGACCACTACATTACATCCCAATTTGACAGTATGATGTTTAGAACCATGGACCACTTGAATACTCAATAGCTGGCACAGCAGTTGACGATTTGATTAATGAAAAAATAGTTCCATGTTAGCATTCATGATACGAATAACAAATCAAGAGTACCGTTTACATTTCTTTTTTGCCAAAATTTCCATACCGTGTATACAAAACAACAGCCACACCACCCTTACGCAAAACAGGGATAAGTATCTACCTCAGCCATTAATCCTTGGGACAAACTGTCCAAGTGTTCATACTGGCATCAAGCAAGACAGAACACTGAAGCGTGTACTGTCTGGAAAACATGTACATGTGCACATCAAAAAGACCTTAGGTAAGCTTTACACCACAGGAAGTGAAAAGGCATTGAAGTGAAGAATTTGGATCAAAACCAACAAATCTTGATCGAGATTGATCCTAAATTCTCTAACTCTGGGAATTGCATTAAGCTGTACAGCTTAGCAATTAATCTTCCTTCCAAAGATTACCAACATATTTGCAAGCCAGGACGGAGCTTGAAGAGGCATTGAATGCTAAAAGTTGCAATATGAGATCGGCTATAACCAAAGAAACATCCAAGTCAGAATGAGGTGAAATAAAATACTTAACAGAAGAGAATGTCAAGATACTTACTAAATAGTGAAAGAACAGTTTCCATCTCTTGATTTCATAGAAAAAAGATGAGTATTTATCGGAATGTATGTTTTCAAGCTAACACGTCACTGCATTATGCTCACATCCAATCAGCTTAGCTGGTGTCTCCTCAGGGGCAAGCCTCACTGAATGTTAAAAATAAGAACGAAGGAAGACGACATTGCATTACCTTCTCACTTAAGAATCACATAAAGGTTGATGAAACTGCACTTGTGTTACAAGCTTACCAGGGGAAAAGAGAAAAAAACCAACAAAAATGAAAAAGAAAAGGGGAGTAAAATTTACAGCAAAACTTGCATCTTCTATGATGCAGAGTCTTACATAAATAAGTATTCATCAAACTTACTAGTTCCCAGATGCTTTTAACCATGTCCAAGTCCTACAGATTTATTAGTCAAAGAAACAAAAGGGCATTCAAACATAACACAACATCCATCACTGGACTATTTCTATCGTGAAGACATTATTCAACACTTCTTGGGTAGAGCTCTCAATGACGCAATCCTTTTAGCATTTCCTGTGGTATCTTATGTTTGTTTTATGTTTCCCTGTTCAACAAAGTCTTCATGCAAATGACAATTCTTGTGACGATCATCGTTTTCTCAACTTTTCACGATGCTAACTCTTCAAGTATTTTCTTTATAACCATACTTGGTAGTTTTTAATAGTGCATGCATATAACCACTTAAGCTATAACTTCTGTATGAATACGAGAGCAGATAAGAAAAGGTGTCAATGAAACCCGACATGTCATGTCCATTTTTAAAACAAGCCATGTCCTCCACAAATCTTGTCTATGTGTTCTAATTTTTACTGACAATAGGCAAATCATGACTACTTATGCGTCTATGAAAGGGGACAACATTCTTATCAGTCAAATCAATTGACTTATGATTGTTGTTCACAAGCCATTTACTTGGACACACATGCTCACAGGGTCAAATGGGAATCGAGATTCTTCAAACAATGTTTCCCCAATCTTGATAATAAAAGAATATTGTAAGGTATATGTAAATTTTAAACAAGAAGAGATATCGGCAACTTATGTTAATGATGCTGATAAAAGATACTGAAATATTTATGCAATTATGATATCTTTGATAAATTGGGTAATTAGCATATAAAAAAAAATGTCGAATAAATACAAAAGCAAAAATTTTGGTGAAATAACATAAGCAAAAAGTTTTGATTAAATAAAACACTTTTAAACATTACAGTTTTAAACCGTGATATCAATTAAATATCATAGTTAGAAATCACGATAAAATTTTAATTGATATCATGGTTTATAACCATAATATCAATTAAATTTAGAACAAATTGGTCAATTAATTCATAAAACAAATCACAAAATTACCAAAATCAGGGTGTCAAGACCAAATTTTTAAAAGCGGTTGAAGTAGCGATTCCATAAGAAAAATAGCCTCTAGAAACTTCTGTTAAAATTTAAGCACAATCAAATAGTCAGACAAAAAATTATAGCCTTTTTAAGCTATTATTATATTTGACATGACTAGACCTTCTCTTGGACTTAAATCTGTCCCACTAGTCATAAATATATTTGCTAGACCATTCATGTAATCTGTTTGGGACAAATCTTTATATAGTTATGGTAGACCCACAACTGACTGCTCAGAATTACCCACTATCATAAGTCCGACTATATCATTAACAATGAAAAACAAAAAACAAAAAATAACTAGTGTGAACAATAAATTTTTGAAATTTTAATTGAAATATGTTTTTGGATCTACATGTTGGAAAGAAAAAAAAAGATATATTTTGATTTATAAAATATATTTGGAAGAAAAGGTTCATAAAATTATAGTTTTTTGTACAAAATAGTTAACCAATTCATACAACTGGCTCAATTGGCCAACCGATTGGGCTAAAGAATTGATAATAAAGACTCTATGTTAAGTTGTCATGCTTTATAAATATTACATGTTTAAATATCGCTATTTTAAAACAAGACATCGTAAAAATTTACTATTTTACTAAAAAAATTTCAAATGGTGTTACACTGTTAAATTTTTTAATTTACTGTGTTAATTTTAAAAATAATCCTGATATCTTCATGTGAGGAAGCATGAGGTGAGTCAGTGTCCCATCTTGCTACTCCATTCCACGGATAGACAAAGGCATGGAAACTCTTAATTCATTTATTGTCAATTAACCATTGGAAGTGATCTTTACATTTTTCTTCATATTGCTAGGAAACTATAAGAGTATATTCAAGTTATTTATGTATAAGAAGGAAAGGGTAATGAAAATAGTAAAACATTAAGAAAGACATATCACTAGCAAAATGGAGTGCCATGGCACAGCTCTGTTGGAAACTATGATATACTAGATCAACAACCCAAAAGCTTTGGGTAGATGGTGATTCCCAAAGATACAAGAGCCATCAATATTATTACTCTGCATCAATTAAATTGAATTAACCATCCAGTCTCCAGTACCAAATGCAACACCCACCCACTTCTAATACATAACCAAATAGTTAATGGAGTGTTTTTAATTGTTACCCACCTCTTATGCCCAATAATAACTATTGAATTCTATTGCAATTGTTGCTGACTGCTGAGATTATTGGTTCACAAAGGCATAAGAGAATTCACAGAAAATGTATTCATAATGACTTGAAAAACACTTGCAGCCTATATTAATAAACCACCCTTTCCATCAGAAGAATGATTATTTAAGTTGTTATATGAGCCTTTATGATCATCAAGAGGATAACAACTTACAATTGATTTTGTTTTTTAGATATCTTCCCTTCTTTGAGTGCAAACAAATAGTTTTTAACCGCTTCAGCATTGAATCAAACAGTGTGCTGAAATAAAGAAGGTGTCCATATGTAAGATGTCCAGGCATCACATAAATGGAAAATTGTAAATATAGATTATGGAAACAGCAATGTACCAGAACAACACACTGTAATACTTTGAATTATTTTGATCACTGCAGTCAATGATTTTGGATGGGGCCTGTGTATTAACCTGAGGAAAAAAATGAACTTAACCCATCATTCAGTAAGTCAAAGGATAAATCTCTTGGTTAGGAACTCATACATTAAGAAAAAGAAGATAGTTCAATAATGAATTTAGATACTCCATAGTATGATTCCATTCAAAGTTATACAGTACGCAAATGATGAATTGTGGCTTATAAGATGAGTTTTACATAAAAGAAAATGATAATACTTTGATGCTAATTGCCAAAACATACAGTTCTATTCAGTAACCATCCTAATATTGATGACTGATGAAAAATATTGAATTGACACTATTAGAAGAAGCAGGTTAGTGCTGCTATTGCTAATGGATATTTCCAGATGAGTGCTCGCTTTACAACAACTTTCCAGCAGTCTCAAGCAGAGATTATTGTAAGGATTACACTTTATCATGAGAGACCAGGTTACATCTAAATTGAGCGACGATGTCAAACTTTTAAGTTTTTGCAAACTACAACATAGCTAGTTTTCAGATCCACAAAATGCCACTTGATTATTGTTAATTGATAAATGCATGCTCCAAATAGGTCTAGTAATATTTTTCACCAACTTTTGTGAGGTGGTGCACGTGCAGTTAACCTTTTGAGTCCTCCAATGTCCAAATCCCTTACACCCTCTCCCATTTCTTACTTCTAGAGCAAAAACTAAATAAGATGCTCATACTCCTTTCCTAATCATTGATATAGACTATGGAATGCCGGACATGGTATTTGTAATGGAATACCAAGCAAAACCGAATTGTCTGTAATTGTTTTGTACCCAAAACTCAGAACTTTGAACTCCTAGCTAGTTACCACCAAGGAATCTAATATCTAGCAAAGAATATCCCCACTGAATCTTCAGTGACGATCCCCGCATTCTCCTCTCGCCTGCCCTCTCCTTTCCCATGTTTCCCTAAACCTCAGCCATTTGAACAATACTAAAAGCACAAAAATAGCTACCCATTCCATAATTATCTATAATGAACCAAAAAAACAATCAATAACTTCCAAAGATTGCATTCATTTCTAATTCCAAGCTCCATAAGATCTCATTCCCTCGGTAAAACACACGGGGCATCCTAATTCCATTTGCATAGGAAACAAATTCAACAATGTGTAGATTACTGCAAACAAATTTTTGACACATCCAATGGAACGAATGCATTTATGCACCATCTTCTTAATCTCTCTTTGATGAATAATCAATCAAATGCATAAAATTTAGTCATCCATTCACACTCAATACTCACTTAATTCCACGAGGGTATCCATATTATAAGCATTTTCGCTGAGTCAAAACTTCCTTTAACTATAAAGGTCAGCGTCCAATTTAATTTACGCCTCAGAAACTTTTTAACATCCAAAAACCTCATTTCAGCTTAATAAAGCTATAAATTTGACCAAATTAAGATGGTAAATAAAAAAAATAGCGAATGTGTTAAATAACAATATACCAAGGCGATGCTTTTACAACGGTGATGAATAGAGGCGGCACCGAGATTGTCGAGTCGGGACTCGATAGACCAGTCGTAGTAATCGGGGGGGCTTTTACGAAGACGAAGTCAGTGGCACCGTTTGATCGGAGAATGGCTGAGAGACGAGCTTAGGTGGCCCCATGACGTCGTTGGCGGCGGCGGAGAGGTCGTTGTTTGGAGAGGAGAGTGAGATCGAGGTTTGATATTCCATTGAGGATTCCGGTTTGGACTCTCACCAGCTCTGCTAGATGCGGTAGTCCCATTTGCGGCTCTCGTCAGACTGTGGCTCTCTCAGTCGAACGGTGATGCTCCGTTTTATGTTGTGATCTTCTGTGAGCTTGACGAGGATGAGAATGCAAGGTATGACAGTTTGTGCAGATCGTGGCCGTTCGTATCTCTCAAGATAATGTAGATATAAAACATGATAGTGTATACAAAAATTAAAAAATAGATATCACGAGTTAGAATTTTTAAAACTTAATTAAAATGATTTTGTGTGTGTGTGTGTAATTTGATTGTTTATAGATTAAATATTTGTTTTTATTTTATTTAAAAATATTTTGAATTTAAAATTTTTATTGGTGATTTTTTATTAAATTTATTTAAAGTAACAAAAAAAATAGCTTGTTTTTTGGTAGGATGTAGAACAAGTTAACTGAAATTTAATAATGATACAATATATAAAAATTAGATTTAATTTTGAAAATGTCACAATGCCTAGAGTCCATGCTATAGATTTATATCTAAATACAGACCCATGAAAATAAGGAATATAAATCCAATATATGTAATATTCATGACAAACTTAGTTAAACCCTGTATATATAACTCGCTTGAATTTAAAAGAAATTAAATGCGTTAGGTTTATAATTTGTATACTATTAGAATTATGTGTCTAAATCCAAACCAATTATATTAAAAATAACCCTACCCAAGATGATCAGGCTAAATATTTATTATTTAAATTATTATTATTATTTTTGTTGTTGTTATAATTTTATTGATAATTTTCTCGATATAATTTAGCATATTATCAACAGTTAAATCGTATGTAATTTTATCGATAAAATTATATATCATCAATAAAAAAATATCAATAATTTTATCGGTGAGTTAATAATAGTAATGATATTTATATTTTTTTTTTTTTCAACTCTTTAAAATATACTGACAAACTTTTTTCATCGATAAATTAACAATAATAATGACATTTGCTATTATTATTTTCTAACTTTGTAGAATGTACCAACAGACTTGTTCCGCCAATAATACCATCTTTAATTATTTTAAAAAATATTTTTTAAAAAAATATATATTGAACAAAAGAAGAAAAATAATTAAAATAATATAAAAATAAATTATCTTAATATAAAAATATATATTTTTATTGTAAATTTAATATCTTAATATAAAAATATATATTTTTATTATAAATTTAAAGATTTATACATTCAAAAACAATAAAACTAAAATAGAGACAGTGTTCAAATACAATAAAACTAAAATAGAGACAGTGGTAAAGGAGAAAAAAGCTAATCTTCACTAGAACTATAAGGCCAAATAAAAGATATATATATATATGTATCATTGATTCATAATCTCGTCTTTATTATCATAAAATGAAATGGGTTATTTAATATTGTACTTACTAGTCCAATATCATTTAAAATTATAGAGTTTGAATAATCAGAATCAATTAAAGATATCCAATTATTGAAACAATACAAGACCTATATAGGAGTATTATAATCATATGGTTATTTTTATAAACCTGTTTTGGTTAAGATAAAAAGTGTACTATTTAGAAATATAGTTGGGGAAAAAAAAAAACCAAATCTTGGATTACTCAGTGTAAGTTTTAACGGTCAATAATCTATAGCCAACTTTTAGGCACCTAGACTTTCCCTCGATCGGTTTTTAGATGATATCTTCCACATTACAATAAATAAATAAATAAGAATTAGGGATTCATTATGGATTAAGAGTGTTTTTACGCTGGATTCAAGCAATGTTTCTTTGTTCGATCTCGCTATAATTTTGTTCATTTTATTCTCCTGTTTTGTATGTCCTTTTTGGACTTCCTGGCGGCTGAAATCTCATCTTTTACATCACTTGCTTCTTCTTTTTTAAACAAACAAATGGAGAAAAACACGTGAAAGAGTCTATTTTTCTCTTCTTAGGAAAAACAACTTATTTTTTCTTGATATATATCTTCTCGATCTGTAGCTCTAGAGATTATGGCCTCAGATGGCTATTTAATAGTTGATGTTATTACATACGACGTTAATTTTATCATACGACAATTTACTATTTTTGGGTTATTGTTAATGAAAATGCTAAGATGCTTAATGCTGCTGCTGCGTGAGTGTGTTTATACTTAGGGTTAGTATATATTCAAACTAGATTTGATGGAGAGAGTGAAGCTGTAGAAATAATGAGCTGATTCTGTCCATTTTTACTGTTTAAACAATCATCATAAAGCAATATGCATAACCTGAACTTGACTATGTTGAATTTGCTTTGTTCATGCTCAACGATAATTTGTCTTTAAAATACGCAAATACGATCATGAACAACTGCTTTAACTAATTAAATTTGTTTTGACTCGACCTTGTACATTTACATGGACGTTTTTCCCATGGAAAATAATATTTTTATATTTTTATATTTTTTTTGTTGACCATTGTTGGAACCCAAAATAGTTTATAATTTGGATGCAATCCAGAGACACATCGCAAAGAACAAATCTAGTAATCTCTCATATGTGAATTATTATGATAAATTTTATATTTAAATATATAATTTGTATCATAACTAATAATTTCTTGTTGTGTGCATGGTTTTATACTCTTCTTCGATGTAGTCGAGGGATGAAGCTAGAAATTTTTTTCTATTCTGGACTATTAAATAAATATATAAATTTTTTTATATAAATTTTTTTAAGATAAATTATTAATTCATGTAAATAAATTTTTAAATGTAACAATAAAGTTTTAATTCAAATACACTATCCAAAATATTAAAAAATAAATTTGAAAGTATGTAAAATTAAAATAAAAGTAAAAATAAAATCACTATTAAAATTATATTTTTCAATATTTTATGAAATATAATTCATATATAATCGAATTTGAATCGATATTATAACAACCTCTCGAACATGATAAAATAATAATCTTATATCAACTGAAAAACAAAATAATTAATTTTTTTCTCATTCAATTTCTCTTTCCTTCACTTGATTCTTTCTTATATTAGTATTTTATAAGTTGGACTTTGCAAGTTTATAAAGTTATTTTCATATTTTTTTTTATTTTTTTCCTTGAATTTTCTTTTTATGTTTTTCTTTTACATTTTTCTTTTTCTCTCTCGCCTTTTCTTTTCTTTCTTTTCTTATTCTGCTTCTATCAAGTTGTCAATATATAAAAAAAAGAAAGAATTGATTTGTTTTATTTTTTAATAGTAAATAACTATTTTACTTTTAATGAGTCATTTTGTTTTTATTTGACGATCTTTTTTTATTAGCACTACCAAACTTTGTTTATCCTAAAATTTTAAATAGATTTTATTTAATATATTTTAAGATGCCTTGTAAATTTTTTAGCTTAATCTGATAGTCAGATTGAAAATCATACAAAATAGATTTTATTTAATATATTTTAAGATGCCTTGTAAATTTTTTAGCTCAATCTGATAGTCAGATTGAAAATTATACACAATAACGTAAAATTGATCAAATTGTGATTTTTTATCATATTTCTGAATTTTTCTAAAAATTCTGAAATTTTAACCTAAGCTAAAATATTATATTAGAAGGCTTTATGTTAATTTTCAAAAAAAATTGATACCTCAATCCAAAATTAAAAAAAAATTATATAAAACTAACAAAAACTATTAATAAAATCTTAACTTGAACTACAGCACACTCGATCCCTTGCATGCCTCAATTATTCAAAACTTTTAAAACATAACAAAGTTTGGTAAAATATTATATTAGTCTATAGATACTTGAAGTTAGATTAATTTAAAATACTTTAATAAACCTTTTGAAACCCACTAGCTTCACTATTATAATTTAATTTTTTTATTATCAAAGAAACTGATCATTCTTTATTAGTCTGTGTATATGGAGACGACAAGGTATTGGTATTATGGAAGAGAGAAACAACAGTCTCCGTAGTTACTATGGGTGCTATTTAAAACTAACACGTGGTTTTGTTTTATTTGTTTAGGCTTTTAAATGCTTGTATATGTTCTTAACGCTTGGTATTTACTTTCTTTCTTTCTTTATTTTCGACAAAGTTGATGTTTACATCTTTCAAAAAAGTAATATAGTACGTACATATACATTTTCGATAAAGTTGCTCCTTCATTTGTATTTTAGTGGAATTTAAAATTAGATTATGACATTATTATAATCATTGCAGAAATAAAATCTAAATGGCTTATCCCTACAGCCAACAAAGAAACATTATTTTTTGGATTTAGCATCAATTTTTATACAACAGCGTTGAAGTCAATATGAACATAAAAATATAATTAAAAAATATATTTAGTTAAAACAAGGATACCAGAAAATTGAAAGTACCATAGTAAAAAAAATTCTCTAAATTAATTAAATTTCATTCCATGGGGTTTTCTTTTATTTTTCTTAAGTTCTTATTAAAAAACTATTTTATTAATATAAAGAATATGTTTGGTTAAAGTGTATATATGTGTGTGTGGATAAAAAAATTAGCTAAAAGATAATTTGTAAGAATTTAAATCGTTGTACTTTTATAAATATTTATTATAATTGTATCGGAATCAAATAAAAAAAATTAAAACGCCCCTTGACTGTATCAGTTTTCATACAAACGCCGGTCGTTTTGAAATACTGGAAAATCTTCCGGGCAAGAATACTAGAAGAAAATTTATTTTTTAGACTTTGGTTGTAATTTTTTTTAACATATTTTTTTATTAAAATATATCAAAGTAATTTTTAAAATTAATATATTAAAATATATAAAAAATTAATTTTTCAAAAAAGTAAATTTTTTTAGGAACGCGGTGCAACCGCGTTCCTAAACAGCGTTCCTAAACGGCTTCCTGCCCACAGATTTGGCTATTTTTTCCACGATTCTGGAAACTCCACCCAAAAAAGTATGCACAGAATCAATAAAAAACCGCTGCCAACAGATTTGTTTCTCTTGTGAGTTGAGACCGTTCCATTCCTCCGTTGTAATAAATGAAGAGGTACGGACACGTTAACTTGGAGCGGCCATTAAGTATTCAAATTTCAAAGTCTCTCGTCTCACACGACATGCTTGTTTTTTTTAAGGAAAAAACAGCCACCCCCACGTGATCTGACGATTCTTCGATGTACCTAATTAAAGTAGGGTTTGTTAGTGTACATTATTGTTGTGCCATGGTTTAAAATATTATTTTTTAAGATATATTAAAATAATATTTTTTTATTTTTAATATCACTTAAAAAGATTTAAAATTATAAAAAAAATAATTTAAAACAATTTTTTTTAAAAAACAAATCGTGGCTGCATAAACAAACATGATAATGACATGGTTTAATTTGCCACATCACCGTTTATATGGGCTCCACTTTGTTGTGCCATGAGCATAATAGTATATAATTTCTTCTGTAAGTGACGACACCTGGCAAGAAATGAACGAAACCTTGAAATTCCAAGCGCAGTTGAAGCGCGTGATATATGTCCTCTCGAGTAACCGAAGGTGGAGCAAGGGTATTGGTTTTTGCTCATGGCTCGTTTGTCCAAATTCGTGCACTTGCAGCGTGTTTGAGACTAATTTCCTATTAAAATTAATTTCATTTATAGTATTTAAATTGCATTCAAAAAGTTAAAATCATGTGTTTAAAAGAGATATATTATCATTGAATTTATTTTATTTTATTTTATTTTCTACAATACCATATCTTTTATTTTATTCATTCAAAATATCTCTTTCTTTTTGCATCTGATTCCTCTCTGTTATTATCATCTTAAATAATCCATTAAATCAAAATTAAATACCTCATGGAAGTAATGTTTTATCGTGATACATATTTACTCTTTATAATAGAGAGAAGAGTGATATAAAAAAAGATCGGTATTTTGAGAACGAACTACTAATTTTTAACATCCACCTCTCCTATTTATTTATAATTTATTTTGATATAATTTTTAGAAATTGAACCTTATTTAGAATAGTTACAAATATAAAATTTAAATGAAAACTTCTTAAATGAGTTCAATGTTAAAAAAATATATATTTGTATTTTTTTATGAAATTATATATATAGATTTAGACACGTGAAAAAACAAGTACAATGAATAAAATAAAAACTCAGGAAAACCGAACCTCCAATGGCATTATTTCTTGCATAAAAATAATTATCATTTAGGTTTATTTGTTAAGAACATGAAAATAACTTTCGAGGAATTGTTTTTAGTTTTTACAATTTTAAGAGGTTATCTTGTATGTTTGGTATTAACAGGCAAAGACGAATAATACTATCCCTGTAATCATTTTTTATAGTGATGTTATCCTTGATGGTTGACAGCTTGACATCAAATCTGATAAGTGACTCTCTTTTTTAAAGTACAAGGTATTATTTTAATTATGTCTATTAATTTAATTGTTCCATTACCATGAATCTTTCTTAAGTCGTGTCTGGTTTTAAATTAAAAAAGGTTGTCTTGGGAGTACCTTTCCTTTTAGGTGTCATGCTATTTCGTTTGAGCTTCCTCCACTTATTTTCGCTAGTTTCAAACGACATTTCTGTTATTTGTCATGCTATTTTGTTTTATTGTTTTTTTTTTAAAAAAAAACTTAGACTGCAATATTTTTGTGTTGTGATACCTTATTGCTTTATTTATCTTTTATGTTATTTTATGTCAACCTTTCCCCTGTCTATTTTGTTTTTTTTACTCTTACCCAAACAACACTTCTTTAATCCATTGTTCTATAATATAAAATAATTTTTTTATTCATACTTTCTATATCACATTTAAAGTTATCACGGAATTAACTATGCTTTAAATGAGTATAATTTTAAAGAATAATTTAATTAATTAAGTTTTAAATTTGCTTTTTAATAATTATAAATTTAAATTATTTTACGATTATTGAAAATTTATATAATTATTAATTTTAAAATTTATAAAATTAATTGAAGTGCATATAAAAATATTTAAATACCCACATATTAATAAAAAAATTATAAATACAGTTTTTATAATATTATTTTGTATTAAAATCAAGGAGTTCAAGTATAAAATGTTTCATAAATATATTAAATTTTAGATATTAATGACTCCACAAATATTGTTTCAAGATTTCAACGTTAATAATAGTAAGCTTAGCTTGTCTTCAATGACTAATTACTTTTTTTTTTTAATTATATTATCCGAATAAAACTTCTTTTTCTCTCTCCTGTTTTGTCCCAAGTGTATTTTTATTTTTTTAATGTGAGAATATTCTCAGATTAACTTTTAAATATTAAAATTGTATAATTTTCTATTGAATCTGAAACACATATTTAAATGCAATTCCATACAATAATACAAATTATGTTCTGCAACCTGTTGTAGCATGGGAGCTATTGTCAACAGTTATATGCACTTCACGATTTCTAAATTAGACAATACAAGCGGGCATTTTGATGCTTCTAGTTAATAATCATATCGTACCTGCGACATTAACTATATATATGGTTAGAAATAAGTTATCATATAAGGAAATAGAAAATTCTTAAAGTCAAGATAATACACCCCACGCAAGATTGCAATGAGCCCTGGGTACATGCTTCATTTATAGTTTTTAAGCAATAGTAATGTCGATTAATAGTTGGTATAGCTTTAGGCTTGTTAATTTGAAAATTATGTTTCGTGTTTCTTGTATTTTATATAAAATTGTATTGGAGTTATTAATGTCATATATATCCATACTTGTATATTTATAAAAAATCAAATACTATTTACTAAAAAAATATGTCAACATAAAATGTAACAGCAACATGTAATTTTGATATATAATTTATATTTGTTTTAATTAAATTAAAAAAATAGTATATATTATACAAAATTTTATCACTATCCCATCCCAATCTTGCACTTGAGTATTTTTTAAATAAACTCACAAACATGCAAAAGCTAAAATTAAAAGCTTTTGATTGTAAATTATGTTTGTGATGAAATTATTGCATGTTCTTTTTAAAAAATTAATGTGGGGTCCGAACTAACTTACGCGCACCACAACTAATCCTACAGGTCTTGAAGTTAACGATCATGTAAGCTTCTAGTGACCATCATATGAGTAATCAAGGACTCAAGTCTAGGACCACAAAGAGAGCAAACCTCTTAATTCCAAGTGCTTATCACTTGGATATCACCTAAATGATTTTTTTTAATGAAACTATAAAAATATATAAAATATATCAATAATACAATGCACATTAATGCAATTGCAAATAATAAATTAATGCAATTGCAAATAATAAATTAATGTGTGTACTTTTTGTTTGTTTATTATTAATGTCAATTTTAATTATAGTTATAATTAAATATCTATTATATTTTTTTAAGTTATAATTTCAATTATAATTTTAATGAAACACATATTTTAATTATATTCAACTTAACTAAAAATATATTTTTTAAAATTATTATTTTTTAAATTATAAACATAACAATTACAACAATATAAAAAACATACCTTGACATGCTTGCTCGAAATGCAAAAGATGCATTTACCGTAAATCTAAAATTTCACAGATATTATAAAAGATTGAGATGATGTTTGATAATATAATAAATATTATTTTTAAAAATACATTGAAATAATATATATATATATATATATATATTAAAAAACCTGTTTGTAATTAACACATTACAACAATTTAAAAAAAAATTAAAATTTAATAAAATGCCGTTTGGAAGCGTTCCAAACGGCCTCTGACTGTTCCCTTAAACATCCCTCCATGACCCCCGCTGCCCGCCTCGTCACTTGCCTCCCACCTTTCCCACCTTAAATACTCCCGTCTCTCCTCCCTGAAAACAAACCATCTCAAAAACAAAAAGAAAAGAAAAGGGAACTCTCATCTCTCACTTCTCACCATGCAAAAGAGCGCTTCAGCTTCTTCATTAGGCCTATATATATATATATATTAAAAAAAAACTATTCTTGTAATGAACACATTAAAACAATTTTAAAAAATTAAAATTTAATAAAATGCCGTTTGGGAGCGTTCCAAACGGTCTCTGACTGTTCCCTTAAACATCCCTCCATGACCCCCCCTGCACGCCTCGTCCCTTAGCCTCCCAACTTTCCCACCTTAAATACTCTCATCTCTCCTCCCTAAAAACAAATCATCTCAAAAAAAAAAAAAAAGAACTCTCATCTCTCACTTTCCACTATGCAAAAAAGCGCTTCAGCTTCTTCATTAGGCGCAGGAGGCCTAGACCTGTCTCAGATCTTCTTCAAACCAATCCAAAACACATCTCCGCCATCACCCACCAAACGCCACACCAAAATTTCTGTTATTGGTACCGGCAATGTAGGCATGGCAATAGCCCAAACAATTTTGACGCAAGACTTAGCCGACGAGCTTGCCCTTGTTGATGCCATACCTGACAAGCTCCGCGGAGAAATGCTTGATCTCCAACATGCTGCAGCTTTTTTACCCCGCACCAAAATTCTTGCATCCACTGATTACTCTGTCACTGTTGGATCTGATCTTTGTATTGTTACTGCTGGGGCTCGACAGATTGCCGGGGAGTCGAGGTTGAATTTGTTGCAGAGGAATGTTACAATGTTTCAGGGGATTATACCTCCGCTTGCTCGGTATTCTCCTGACGCGATCTTGATGATTGTGTCGAATCCTGTTGACGTGTTGACTTATGTGGCCTGGAAGTTGTCGGGGTTTCCTTCGAATCGGGTTATTGGATCTGGTACCAATTTGGATAGCTCCAGGTTTCGGTTCTTGATTGCTGATCATGTTGATGTTAATGCCCAGGATGTACAGGTGAGGACATCGATTGATCTTGTTTGTTAATTTTTTTTTGAGTAGTTATGCAAAATCACAATTTATCCCACCGCATTTTTTTCGAGCATATGTTCAATTTGATTTCATATCACTTTGTTTGAAGCTTTGGTGCGTGAAAGCTGGCAGATAATGCATTGAAATTGAATTCTACAGAAAAGAAAAAAAAATACTGAATTTCAGTTATGCTCTGTAGAATTTAGAGAAGAGGTAGAAGAACAGTAGATATTTTCTTCACTAGTTTGTGTTGTTGCAGAGTGTTTTTAAAGTAGAAGAAGTGCACAGCAGATGCCAGGAATCGTGCAGGGAAGTTACAGTACAGACTTTGAGAGATTTGATGTAGCTAAACTTTAGGAATCAATCTTCCCCTAAACAATTATCTCTAGCTGAACATTAGGAATCAGTGATTGTAATTTTCTGATGATATTCTGCAATCTTGTTGTCCTGCTGACATGCTTGATGATTCACGTTTCCATTTCCATCATTTACATGCTTGTGCAACGTATTTCTGTACATTTTGATTAAAAGAAGAAGAAGAAGAAGAAGGAAGTCTCATTAGCAAATCGTATTTTGATTAAAAGAAGAAGAAGAAGAAGGAAGTCTCATGAGCAAATCATGTGGTCAAAATTGAAAATTGACTTTCGCTATCTGCGTTTGAATTTTTTAGTTGTTAACATTTCTTTATAGGAAAAAATATTTCTGAATCTTTACTTTTTCTTTGGGTAGGCCTACATTGTTGGTGAGCACGGGGATAGTTCTGTGGCATTATGGTCTAGCATAAGTGTAGGAGGAGTGCCCGTATTGAGCTTCTTAGAGAAGCAGCAAATACCCTATGAGAAGGATGCACTGGAGAAAATCCACAAAGCAGTTGTAGAGAGTGCATATGAAGTGATTAGTCTCAAAGGCTACACATCTTGGGCAATTGGGTACTCAGCTGCTAACTTGGCTCGGTCCATTCTCAGAGACCAGAGGAAAATCCACCCTGTTTCCGTTCTTGCAAATGGGTTTTATGGCATTGGCGATGGGGACGTGTTCTTGAGCTTGCCTGCACAGCTAGGTAGAGGAGGGGTTTTGGGGGTGACCAATGTGCATTTGACGGATGAGGAGGCACAAAGGCTCAGGAACTCTGCTAAGACCATCTCGGAGGTGCAAAACCAGTTGGGACTTTGAGGTCAATGGACATTTGTTCTATTCGTTGCGCTTTTCTAGGTAGTATCTTGGCTTGTTTTCACTCGTAACTCCTATGTTTCCAGTTTTCATTCAGTGTTGTCATTTGTCAGTATAGATACATTTTTGGAAAGGTTTCCCATCCATTACGAACTAAAAATGGCTTTGTTTTGCTGTTGCAACAATTATGTGGAGTAATTGCGATGGTGATATTCGTCCTGTCACTCTTGCTAGAAGAACTTGGACTGTGGGAACTTATGTTGCAAAAGCACGCTGGCTTTAAGACATGCTTAGCCAACTGTACGGATTGGAACTCTTTTTGGAAAATCTGCAGCATTCATTTCAAACAAGCCTGGTTAGAGCATCCAGAAGGAGAGATGTTATTTAGAAGATTCAAATCCAGAAGAGGAGAGATGTTATTTAGAAGATTCAAATCTGTAATATAGCTTTATGAACGGGGTGTGTGTGTTTTGTGTTGTGTGTTTTTGGTTAGAAGAGTTGATTGTATTTTAATATATTTGATGAATAAGTATTTTAACAATTTCATATGATTTAGTTTGCTTCACCTGTTTGAAACAACTTGAAATATAATATTTAAGGATGGTATTGAAAAGAAATTAATTAAAAAAAATGATAGGGATTATGAGATTAAAATAATTTTATAAAAAATAAATTAAAAAAATATAATTTTTAAAAAATATAAAAAGAATCAGTGAAAAGAAATTATTTAAGGTTTTAGTATTTTTATAAGATATGTATAAATAATATATTTATAAAACAAACAATATTTTAACATTTTACTTAGCATTTTTTTTTGAGGATGTTACACGAAAAGCTAAATTAAATTTTTATATAAAATTGTATTTGGAGTTATATAACATCTATAAAAAATCAAATTTATTTACTAAAAAGATGATGTTCTGACACAAAATTTAATAATAATATATATTTTTGATATGCAATTTATATTTGTATTTGACTAGATGAGAAAGGTAAGGCACATTATATAAAATTTTATTAAATTATATTTACAATTGAATTACTGCATGTTTAATGGAACTATAAAAGTAGATACAATATATATGCAATGCATATTAATATAATTACAAATAATAAACTAATGTGTGTCCTTTTTGGTTAATTTATTAGCAATGTCAATTTTAACTATAGTTACAATTAAATAATTTTTATATGTTTTTTAATTATAATTTCAAACATAATTTTAATAAAATATATATTTTAATTAAACTAATTTTAATTAAAAATATATTCATATTTGGGAAAGGTTTCCCATCCATCGCGAACTAAAAATGGCCTTGTTTTGCTGTTGCGACAATTATGTGGAATAGAAACAAGCGTGGTTAGAGCATCCACGAGGATAGATATTATTTAGAAGATTCAAATCTGTAGTATAGCTTTATGAATTGTGGGGGGTGTTGTGTGGGTTTGTTTAAAAGGGTCACTTGTATTTTAATATATTTGATACAACTATTTTAACAACTTCCATGTGTTGTCAAATTTAAAGATAATTCGGAATACAATATTTAAGAATAAAATAAAAATAAAAAAATAACTCAAAAAAATCTAGATAAACTTGTTAAACGAATGATAATTTTAATTAAAGAAAAAAACAGGTGACATTTTTTTATAAAAAAAACAATATTTGAACATATTATTTAGCATTATGTTAAACAAGCATTGAAAAGTCAAATTAATATTTTTTTTATTTATTTTGGTTTTTTATTTAGCACATAGGAGATGCCTTTACGATGGCAATTCCCCTCAAAGAGACATGGCTATTGCATTAGCAATTTATGGTAACTTAATTTTTTTCATTTAAAACTTTTTATACCCAAATTAATAATCAATTTTTTAAAAATTTGTTAAAGAGAAAAAATTCAAGAAAAGAGAATTGAAAACAAGAAAAAATCTTATAATTAATCTCAAATTCACTATAAAAAATTTACTCCACCTACTTTTAATTTTTTGTTACCTTGCAGTCTGTTTAATTTTTAAAGTTTTAATTTAGATTTAAAAATTTATTTTCTTAACATTTCAATCCCTAGTTTAAGAAGAGAAAAAAAACTTATTTAAAAATAATAAAAAAGAAAGTTGGTGGATAACTATTTTCTATCCTTAAAATTTATATTTCTTGATGTCATTAGGTTCATTTAATAAGAGGCGTTCAATAATTATGATTTTTTTTAAATATACTTAAAAAAATAGATCAAGTTTTGTTTAGATTTTGTTTTAGAGATTTTAAAGTATTTTTTGGCCATTAAATTATTTATGATATTTTAGGCCAAATCAATTTAAAAATCAGGTTTTAAGATAAAAAAACTTACACCTCGATTTTTTATTTACTGGGGGTGACCGAAAAAACATAACAATAGATCACTCATTGCCTTCTTAAAAAAATTAAAAACGAATGATGTCTCGGCTGCTCTCAAGAAAAAAACATGTGCGGGCTTACGCTTCAAAGCCTAATGCTTTTTTTATTAAGGCCAATTTACTTTCATTAATTGTTTCTATTAATTAAAAAATATGAAAGAATGATTTTTTCAAAAAAAAAATCATTCTTTTATGTTTTTTAATTGCATAATATTTTAAAAAGATTAATTTGATTTGTCTTGAATCTTTTTCCATGTATATTTTGTACAGCTTTTTTTATATAAAAAATATAATTTGTTATGAGTAACAACAATTAGCCTCTAAAATAATATAAATAAAAAAATTTAAAATAAAAATATAATAGATGTAAAATATTTACAAGTGCATCTATTTTTTAGTTTTACTATAAAAATTAGCCTTTTATTTTAATATTTAATTAGTTTTAGCAACTTCTTTGGATTTACCCGTTCATAAATTCCTTAATTTATTTTATAATTTTTTGATTTTTCGGTTCATAAATTCCTTAATTTATTTTATAATCATAAATAACATATCTTCACTTCTTATTTTTTTTTAAAATTATATTAATAATAGAGTTTTATAGTTTGTTTTGTTTTACTCCATGGAATTATCATGGATTCAAATAATCTTCCCAACATTGGATTATTGCTTGACATTTTTAAGTATTTATTTTTTTATTATATAATTAAATAATAAATAGCTTTACAGTAAAAAAAAAATACATAAAAAATTTGATGTCACCCCTGCTGCAGCACAGGCCCATGATTGGTCACTTTCAACCGGCGGTCTTCACAATAAAATTTCTTTCTCCCAATCTCTCAATGACTTTGAACAAGGGCCAGCCCTTCAACGGTGCCCATTGAAGTAATAAATCTTCTGTATTACATTTTAGTTAACAAGAAAAGCTAATCAGGCTTGAGAAATTAGTGTAGCTCTCCGTACTTATGAATAATGCTCACTGCATAATGTTACAAAAAATTTAAACATGCCATCAAAGATCTTCTCGTTATTTTCACAATAGCTTTTTCTTGAGATTATAAAATCAGCTAAGGATACTTTAGCTTTTTTTTTTTTCAATTGCAATGCAGATAGTTAGTGATCTGGATGGAGCTTCTCAGGTTCTGAAGAGAGTATGATGTATCATGTTCCAATTTTTTTTTTTTGATAATTGTTATGTGTATAATTTAATTAATCAAGTTTTAAATTTATTTTTCAAAATTATCCTTTTAAATCTTATAAATTTTAGAGGCTACTAGAAGTAAGTTTATATTATCATTAATTTTAGGACCTATGAAATTAATTAAGGTATGCATAAGCTGATTTAAAAAATCTTATTCTTGGTTTTGAATGATTTGGATTAAGTGAAAAAAAAACAGTTGATTTTTTTATTTATTTCAATGATGCATTAAATGCTATTATATAATTTGAATTTAATGATTTATATTTCAGGAATATAACAATCATCTTCGCCACTGTATTCCAGGGAAATGGTCCAGTAAGAGTCCAGCTCAAACAGTAACAATCAATATTATACCTGGGAGCATGGTTACAAAACTCTACTCGGTTTGTGAATCAATCTGATGATCCATGGACCTGAAGCTAGTCGGGGTTATGTTTTCCTTTTAATTGATTTTTTTGAGACCAAAACAATACCATTTCCGCTTTATTTAAACTCTATTTAAACCATGTTATTTTAGAGGTTATTATTATTATTATTATTATTTTTATTTACGTGGAGTGTCCGGGCCAGCTTGCGCGCACTACGACTAATCCCCACGGTCCACTGAATATCCTACAAACCCAGTAGGCATGTAAGGCACCGTAGGGGTGACAGGCATGCACGCTAGGGCTCGAACCCAAATACAATGAAAGGAGACAAGCCCCTTCCACCACTAGACCAAGCCCTAGTTTGCATTATTATTATTTTTAACGGAGCAGCTCAGTAGTAAGGGTAGTTCCAACTTTTAACTAAGCAGCTCAGTAGTAAGGGTAGTTCCAACTTCCAAGAGTTTGAGTGTGCTGTTTATTAACATGGTCGCTGTGCTTTTTAAAAAATTAAATTTCGTCTTTACATTAAATTTATTTTTTTAATATTTTTTTTTTATTTTGATGCATTTATATCCAAAAAAAATTTAAAATAAAAAATATTATTTTCATAAATTTTTTAATAAAAAGTTATTTTTTAAAAATAATTACGACTATAATATTAAATATTAACTTTAATGATTAATGCAAATGAAAATATTAAAACGAGCCAAGCTGCTGGGCTGCGAGCCCAAAAACATTAAACCTCACGTAATATCTGAAACGCTATCGTTTAATAGACTGTAGTAAGTAGAAACAACTCTTTCTGGCTAAGTGCTCAAATTCGTCAATTCACGAACACTCGGGAAAATCACCAGATAGGTAGTGAAGATTGGCTGACAACAACAACAACAGTACTTCAGGAAGTAGAAGAAGGAAGATCAAGCTAAGTCTAAACCTGAAATGGCAGGTAGATTGAGCAACGTGGCTTCACAGATCATGGGAGGAAACGGCGTCGTTAGCCGCTCTGTCGCCTCCTCTATTCGTCTCCGTTCCGGCATGGGCCTCCCCGTCGGCAAACACATCGTCCCCGATAAGCCCGTTAGTATATATTAACTATTTTCAATTTTTTACAAAAAAATTCAAATCCATAAAGAAAATTCATTTGGGGTTTTTATTCTTTCAGATTCCCGTGAATGATGAGCTGATGTGGGACAATGGGACTGCATTTCCAGAACCTTGCATAGATCGAATCGCCGATACTGTTGGAAAGGTAATCAGTGACTATTGATTTTATTATTATAACTTGTAAATATCAATTTATTATTATCATTTCCAGAACCTTGCATAGATCGAATCGCCGATACTGTTGGAAAGGTAATCAGTGACTATTGATTTTATTATGATAACTTGTAAATATCAATTTATTATTATCATTTCCAGAACCTTGCATAGATCGAATCGCCGATACTGTTGGAAAGGTAATCAGTGACTATTGATTTTATTATTATAACTTGTAAATATCAATTTATTATTATCATTTCCAGAACCTTGCATAGATCGAATCGCCGATACTGTTGGAAAGGTAATCAGTGACTATTGATTTTATTATTATAACTTGTAAATATCAATTTATTATTATCATTTCCAGAACCTTGCATAGATCGAATCGCCGATACTGTTGGAAAGGTAATCAGTGACTATTGATTTTATTATTATAACTTGTAAATATCAATTTATTATTATCATTTCCAGAACCTTGCATAGATCGAATCGCCGATACTGTTGGAAAGGTAATCAGTGACTATTGATTTTATTATTATAACTTGTAAATATCAATTTATTGATTTTCCTTTTCCTTTTGGGATTGTTTGATGGTAATAGTATGAGGCCTTGGCGTGGTTATGTGGAGGTTTGGGATTTTTCGCCAGTCTCGGGTTGTTAGTTGTGTGGAATGATAAAGCTTCTACGATTCCATTTGTAAGTTAAATAACTCATATTTTGGTTATTAGAGCGCCCCTCCCATCCTTTAATTTGGATTTAAATATTTGATTTGCTTACTTTAATGGAATCGATATTTGTTGGTATTTTGGTATCAATTGGTGAATGTGTTTTTGTTGGTGTGTTTAGTTAAGTGGAGAAATAAATTTCCTTTCGAGTCATAACAGATATTCACACTTAATATTATCAAGTTAAGCTGTCAAACTTGTATAATCAATTTAATAGCTGTAGTGCAAACATTAGTTAAAGAGACAAAACCTTGATCTCTTTGGAAGTGAATTTCGACCTGACTAAATTACAAGTTAGGACATGATATAGTTCTGAACTTATGCTTTCAGTAATGATGCAATAGAAATGGCTGATTCCTCTGATTAACACGAGACTATCTTGAAAAGTAAATGACCATCAAGTGAGTGGGGTTGAATTTAAGACCTACTTGGTTATAGAGCTCTGATTTCTATTCTAATTCTGTGATTGAAATGTTACTCTAGTGTTTTAGAAAGAAATTGCACATATTAGGATAGTCATGAATGTTTAAATGTTAATAAGATTTAGCTTTGGTATTTGAAAGGAATTGGTATTTGTTGCACTTTTGATATCAGTCTAGGAAACTAGTTCTTGTTATCGAGTTTTGTGATGTGAAAATAAGTTGTCTTTTGAGTTGAAAAATGCTTTATGATGACATCTACTCCAATTCAACTTTGTTTTGATGCCATGGTAGAGGACATGTCGGTGGTTCTTAGTAGCTCTTGGATAAAGATTTATCTACTTCATCAGCTCATTTTGTTTTAATCAACCCTTTCCTAGTGTATTGCTTTTGGTGAAGCGGGGAAAGCAGATGTGCTTTCATTTATGATGGCATTTCCATTGTTACATTGGATAAGAGCTATTAGATATGTGCTTAAGAAGCTGGTATTCATGTCAAAACTATTGTTAAGTTAAGCTCTTGAACTTGTAATAACCATCGAGTTTCTATAATACTCAGCTTCAGTGCAAAAAATATTGAAAAAGTTAAACCTTTGTCTTTCTGGAAGCAAACTTTGAGCTGACTAGATTACAAGTTAGGACAAAACATGATACTGAACTTAGGATTCAGATGATGACGCAATAGCAAACAACTGATTCCTCTGGTTACTCATTTGACCTTGCAAAAATTAGTGATGGGAGTTGATTTCTTATAACTTTAGGAAGAAAACTCGAGTGAGAATGTGATGTCCATGCTCCAAATCTAAAGCCTCACACTTGACAGAGAACCATAGTTTTCCTTAGATGCATCTGTCTTGGGTTTGTCCTTCATCCAATTATAGCCACAGCATATTACTGTTCAGCTCAGCTTAACTCAACTAAGTCACAGGCGATGAAGGAGTTGAATTTTGAAGTGTGCTACATTTGAACACAGCAAATCTATTTCCTATTCAGTGCTCAATCACTCTACTTTAGGACAAGTTTTCAAATATCTTTCAAAATTCTGCAGTTTTATACTGATCTGAATTTCCTATGTCTTTAAGTATAGGATACATTAGAACCTGTAAACTTGCAGGAACTGCTTATTCTAACAACTGCTAGTCATTGATAGAGTTTATATACCCTTTCATATTCGTAGTGCTTGATGATACTTGAGTCTGTCTCGTGCTTTTCCTTAGGGAAGCCTTATGTTTGTTTGTTGTCACTGATTCCAAAAGCAAAGGTTTTTCTATCGAGCCAGTTGATATGCCTCTGGATATATGAAAATTATCCAGTCATTAATATCACACCCTATGTTTGTTGGAGAAACAAGTGGAGCTTTCAGGCAAAAAATGTCTATCCTTCTAGGAATTGTGAATCATAAACTTCCACCACCTCACATGATATAGGTTCTCTGAGGTGAGATTCATCTCAAAACTTGATTAGAGCATTTGAATATCACTGTTACCGATATACTTAGACTGGACAATTCAAGCCCATGTATTAGAGTGGAAATTCAACTTGATCATCTCCTTAGAAAGCTAAACCAATTTCCAGATATGTTTTCCCAAATGTACAGTCCTTGAGAATTATACAGGAAGGCTGGAAAATTTTTTGTGGGAAGCATCCTGTTCCCTCGAATTTTCTTTTGCTTTGGCATTATGCAAAATTAATTATTCTTGAGAGATAACAATTGTAAGTTTAAACATATTGATCAAGCATAAAAGTGTTTGCAGCAGAATTTTGAAGATCATATCCATTTTAAGAGTATCTCATTTTGGTAGTCTGATGTCTTTTATCTTGTCTATCATTAGTGGAGCTCTGTAATTTATGAAAATTTTTGGGCACTTCAATAATGATTCTGCATTCATAGTGGATGACGATGTTATGCTTCTTCCTTGTGAATAACCTTGCTATGTTTTGTCAAGTATCACCTTATCTCATCAGCTGCATGCGTTCTCTGTATAACTTGTTTCATCTTCATATTTTGTTCTATAACTTCATTTCTTATGTTTAACATTTTAGGCATCGTCTTTTAAGGCAATTGTGCTGCTTCTATGCACTAGTGCACTTTAAACATTTTTCTTATTCAGCACTTTACATTTCTGATGCTTGCGTGGGCACACACTCAACATTTTTCCTGTTCCACATTTAGCATTTCTTATGCTGACAACAGCATTTTTCTTTTCTTTTTTTATTCTTTTGAGAAGACACCGAAGGTGTATCCATACGACAACCTGAAGGTGGAGCTTGGTGGAGAACCGTAGGTTTGATCTAGGAGTGGTTGTATCCTTCTTGCTCTTTCTCATGGCTGTCCTCTTTTGTTCATCATTTTACCCTTGTGAATTGTGATGGTTAGAAATAATGGCTTTGGCTGAAATTAACATCAAACAAACAGCCTTTTAAGTTTCTCAAAGCTGGTTCTCAAGCAAGATGGTGTTGCTTTTTTCAGATTCCTTTTTTATGTTTCTGCCAGTAAATTGGATTATTTAAAATAAGGGTGACTATCTCAACTCTAAGCATGTGGTTTATGTAATGTCTAACCTCATGTTTTATTCCTTATCCCTGGATTATATCGTGGGCAATTTTTTGTGAAGCTTCAATTTACTTTTTCGAGAATCATCAAGGGTAGAAACCATCTTTATTGAGTTCCCCATCTACATGAAAATTGTAGTTATTGGTGGCAGGAATTTGGCCACCTACCTCCTTTGAGTTCCCTACATGAAAATTGTAATATTGGTGGCAAGAATTTGACTACCATCTTTTGCCTAACTTTCTCTCTTCTTTAATAGTCAGGGATTGAAATTTAAAAAAATTGAGATTTTATAACCAAAGTGTAAACATTAAAAGAATAAGGACTAAATAAGAAAAATATTGAAACTTGAGGGATCAAAGTAAACTTTTACATCTCTTTTGAGCAAAGCAAGTTGATTGAGGTTTTTTTTTTTTTTTTTGTTAATTTTGGTCTGGTCTATGAATTTTTTAATTACAACATAAAATTTTGCAATATAAAGTTTATTTTTAATTTCATATTAACATATTCTATAACAAATCGGATATGCGAAGGGTAACATATCGAAACAAATTCTAACATGTTAATATCAATTGAAATAAAGCTCAATGATTGAAGAGTGAAAAAAAAAAAAATAAGGGGCATGGTACAGAACAAATGCACCCTTTTTAATTATACTGTATAATAATAAATATCATCTTTCTTCTAAATTCACAAAATCTTATCTAAAATGAGGCCATCTGATTTATAACACAATGAGCAATTAGTTTATTAGTATGTTAGAGTGAACTGGAATATGCTGAAGGCTAACATGTTTTTCTAGCCCCCCATTCAATGCCCAATGTGATGTCTAATTTACCAAAAGTTGTTAAAAGAAGAAAAATTTAATAAAAAGGGGTCGAAGTGTAAACAAGGAGAAATCCCACGTCCATCGTAAAATTGGAGAGAAAAATTCTTTTTTTTCCTCATACTTTTCTTGTCCTATCTTTATAGTCCCTATAATTTTTGTACTTTCAAATATAATTAAAACATTTTTTTCTTTTATATTTTAGTATGTGTAAGCGAGAGAGGAGAGAGAAAATTATTGGATTTTAGTTGAAAAGATATAAAATTATTGATTGATATTTATTTTAAATATAAAAATTAATTATCTTGATTTCAACAAGTTTTATTCTATGAAGAGAACTTGATGATAATTATTTTAGAACTTAATTTTTTATAGAAAAAATATAAAATATAAAAATTAATTATCTTGATGTCAACAAGTTTTATTATACGAAGAGAATTTGATGATAGTTATTTTAGAACTTAATTTTTTATAGAAAAACAAATAGGAGGGATAATTTTTTTTCCTAATTTGATTTTGTATTTTTGAATATTTTTGGAGGGTTATTAGGTTGATAAATGAGTTTTTAGAAGTTCTAAAAGTATTTATTATGTGTTTTTAAATAAAAATTAGTTTGGAGAAAAGTAATTTTTTTTTTAAAAATCAAACTGGAAATTCTGGCCACCAGAATTTTAAATTATGTGGGAAACCTGAGTGGTTGTCCTGGTTATGGAAATTTCTGAAGGTTGAAATGCTGATCACAACTCTGGTTTTGAACTCTCAATCGCCCTGTCTGGTAATAAATAAGATATCTGCAGTAATGCATGCATTTATGGTTCAGACATCAACTTCCGTCCCAAAGACCATTGACTTGCTATCCACTTCACATGCTTCAGCAACGGCAAGCATAGGCCAGCTCCTCTGTTTGGTTACAACCCCGATGCATCGAGTGTTGATTTAACAAAACAAATTGACTGTACTAATGTGCTTCTTCAGAGATTAATCCTTCTCCCTGTTTTTTGTCTATGTCGGGGAAGATTAAAGGATAGTCTTGAAGGTTTGAATTAGTGTTTATTTATTTATTTAATTTTAACTTAAGCTTTTTTCTGGTGACTATATTTATCTATCATATTTTGATGAAACAAAATTTATATTTTTCTTTTGGTGACATATTAGAGAAAATGTAAATATATAAAGAAGAAGTTCAAAACAATTTTTTTATAAAATTATTTCATCAGATAAACTATATATATATATATATATATATATTAATGAGAGGTGATTTTATATTTGTATCAATTAATGTTCGCTAAAAGTCCCTACTTCTTCCATTTACTCTCCGATGCCTGTTTGCCTTGGTAATTTCACATGATTATATTATTTTTGATGATTGAATTCATAGTTTTTAGAATACAAGGGCCTGTTCGGTTTTTGGTTGTCTTAGAGGTGTTTTTGATTGAAGTTTTAGCTTATTTTAAACATGTGATTCAAAGTCGTGCTCTAGTATTTATATTTATTTAGTTATTTATTTTGTTTTTCGTTGTTTGTATGCTCTATATGTGAATTCTTCTTTACAAATAAATATGATTTATGGTTTTAATCTCTAAATTTGGTATGATATATAGCAACAAAACAACAATATTTCCAACCAATCCTTTTCTATTAATTTATAAAAGTTATTTTTCTACAATTTATTCTCTAAAGATCCTAAGAGATTTTGAGGGCCAATATTGATGAAGTCGATCGAATTTGAACCCATTTCTTTTAGAATTAGTTTTCATATTTGCAAAATGCGTTCTTCAACTGAGGTAATCGAAACATCGATAAAAGAGCTCTGCAGTTTTGCTTTTTAATAGTTTAGTGTTAATGCAGTTTTGTCTACACTTCTGAACACTCATTAACTTGACTAACCTTGGGTTCCAGAGATCCATTACATTAAAAAAAAGAAGGTCAAAAACAGGTTGCAAAGCTTGCATGCATGGAAGATCTGGGCAGTTTAGATCCATGAAATCTTTCCTGACCAGCCATATCCTTAGGAATTTAGATCTGGGCAGCGACAGTGTGGATGCTCTTATTATGCCGAGGACACATAAAATATGTACCTTCTCTTTTTTCATGTCTCCCTAGGTTGTATACCATTCTCGTGACCACATTTGACTTCTCTTTTTTTTTTTAATTTATTATTTGATATTTCGGTGATTGCAACTTGAATTTCATTTCTTGTTCAATTTTTTTTTCTATTTTGATTTTTATATGGCGAGAAAAGTCAAATTAATTTAGGTTATCTTGAGTTAATTTAATTTTTTTATAATTTTTTTTATAAATTTATTATTTTGCATTACATTATAAATCCTTGAGCTTGTGATTTTTTTATTTTTTTATAGGGTTATTTCTAGTATGGATTTATCAAGTTAATTTGAGTTATTTTTTTTTAATATTTTTTTTTAATTTTAATATTTTTATTAGATTTTTTTAAATTATTTTTATCTTGATCTTATATAATGAGTGGTAAGTTAATCAATCTAATCTGAATTGAATTTTTTTTTTTATATGTTCTTTTTACAATGATCTTCCTTTTATTTTCGTGACTTTGCATTAGATTATTTGGCAAAGAACTTTACATTTCGAACTGATTGTTCTGATACTAAAATTAACCATTAACTACCTCAAAGAGACGGAAAAAAAGATCTGAACTGATTGTTCTGATACTAAAATTAACTATTAACTACCTCAAAGAGACGGAAAAAAAAAGTCACCTCCACCACCCAAGGTGAAGTCACCTCCACCACCCAAGGTGAAGTCACCACCACCACCCAAGGTGAAGTCACCACCACCACCCAAGGTGAAGTCACCACCACCACCCAAGGTGAAGTCACCACCACCACCCAAGGTGAAGTCACCACCACCACCCAAGGTGAAGTCACCACGTCCACCACCCAAGGTCAAGTCACCTCCACCACCCAAGGTCAAGTCACCACCTCCACCACCCAAGGTGAAGGCACCACCACCACCCAAGGTCAAGTCACCACCACCACTGCCACCAATTGTCAAGTCACCACCACCACCAATGGTGAAGTCACCACCACCACCAATTGACAATTCACCGCCGCCACCACCAATGATCAAGTCACCACCACCTCCATCATTACCAAAAGGCACTTGCCCTAGAGATACCTTGAAGTTGCAAGCATGCGCAAATGTGCTGAATTTGTTGACAATCTTTGTTGGTGAAAAAGAAAAGGCCAAATGCTGCAGCCTCATTGATGGTCTTGTTGATCTTGATGCTGCTGTTTGCCTTTGCACTCGAATCAAAGTTGATCTCTTGGGCGTTATTAAGTTAGATGTTCCTGTTGCCGTGGAGTTGTTGCTCAACGAATGCGATAGGAAGGTCGCAAAAGATTTCAAGTGTCCGCCCTCCTAAGTCCTTCAGTTTAATAAATTGCCGCGTATAATTTAGCTTTCCTTGCTGTCTCTCCCCACCTCATTTTATTTTTCTTTGGACTTTAGCAAGGCTTTTGCTGGCTCGTGCCATAAACATTGCTATATCAATAAACGCTGTAATTTGAGATTAGTGTAGTGACTAGCTTGAAAGGCTCGTAATCTATTTCTATTATGCTGCAATAATACGAAGTTTGATTTATGTTCTCGCGCTTTTTTTTCTTAATTCGATTTAATTTCAAAATTGTAGAATTAACAATATAATATTATGTATTTCTGTTATGTTGTTAATTTCCAAGGATCTTGGTTGAGAATATTTGGTGGCACAGTAAATATATAAATTCTAGAATGAAAACAATTAGCTCTTGTTTGATGATGAAAGGAAGATAAGTTGATAAATTTATTAGTTCGCCTTTCTAGATAAATTGCTATATCAAAAGAGGAATTTTGCTCTTCTAGACGGTGGCGCATATATATATATATATATATATTACCACTTTTCCCGCGTTATATTATAATTAAATACAATAAGCACAGTAGTAGCATCTTCGAATTCCAGTTTCCTTCCAATTAAAATTTATAATTAAAATTATTCAAGTCCAATTGACTTTCAAAAAACACAAGCTGAGTATGCCCTTCGTGGGTGTTAGTTCTACCATTCACTAGGGGGTGACATCGGTAGGTAAATTGTCATTGACCTACCACTGTTAAATTTATGCCCTTGCATTTAACGTGGAATATCAGATTACTCACTAGGATAAGATCAGAGAGGTTCTGATTTTATGAATTATGCCACAATGGAGCATGGGCCGCATGCAGTCAAAATTATGCACAAGCAAACCGTATCTCATACGTGTATGCAGTTGTTTGGGGTGGTGGTTATTCTAGCTAACCTCACTCTGCAATATTGTGATTGAAAGTCGTGAAATACTTCAGAAGATAATTGAATTTTTTCAAGCCTGCGGATTGGTGCTGCAAAATACTTGTAAACACATGAAACATTCTGATATTTAAATTAGTAAGATGTAATAACAGAAAAATAATATACGTTAAATGAAAATGAAAAAAAGGCAGGAAAATATAAAAGAGAAATTTAATGTTCTAAGAAATCTTGAATGATCGTTTGTAGTTTTAGAAATTATTTTGCGGTTATTTGTAGTTTTATGAGAAGTTAAATGATAGTTGATAATTCATGAAATAATTAGGTGATTAATGATGATTTTTAGAATTGTTAGGTGATTGATGATCATTTATAAGATTGCATAACTAAGTCTTTAATGATTGTATACGGTGTAGACTTACATGACCTTCTTATCCTTTTACATGTGACTGGGGTATTTATACACTCAATTCTTGAATTTACTATATGAAGAAGGAAACAATTTTTCTAGAAAATTATGTAATTACATGTTGGGCCAAACTTGCCATTGAAAGTGATATTAATAACAATATTTTCATAAAAAGTTGAGAGTTGTTGTGTTATGAACATCATTGGTAAAGATATTGGCAATTACAATATTAGGACATCATTGTTGGTTAGAAAAGTGGTGCCTGCATTGCATTGAAAAAATTATGTGCATAGAAAGTTTATGTACGCGACTCATAAATACTTGAAAAAAATACATTAAGATGTGTGCCAAAAAAAATTTAGAAAAAACAAGGTGAGTTAGTGTCTTAAAGATGTGTGCTAAAATTTTTTTAGAAAAAACAAGGTGAGTTAGTGTCTAAAATGCAAGGTTTCTAACTATTGAGTAAGCTTATATAACCCCAAACAATCAGCATGGCTAGCATGTACATGCAATTTTTTTTTTATATATATTATTTTTCTGAATCATTACAAACCTTATCTTCAATTTCAATGATATTAAGTATAATTGGTGTTAATGAAACTATCATTTAATAATTAACTTCAAATTTACTAAAATTTATGACCTAGTATATATACTTGTGTTTTTATTTAGAAGTAGGATAAATACTTGTTTAAACTATAAATTAATTTATTTTAGTTTGCTTTCTATAAAGTTATTTTGATCTCATGATCCAATTTATGAGTTTTACGGGTTAACCTGAGTAGACTCATGTCATTTTATTGTGTCTTTTTTTAGATTGAGTTTTTTTTTTCATTTCATCATTTAAAAATGAGTTTATTGAGAATTGATTTTCATAATTTATTTTAATTTTATTTCTATAAAGTTATTTTAGTCTCATGATATAGATTAGAAGTTTAACAAGCTAACCCATATTCAATTAGGTCTTTTTCTTGGTTTACTTTCCATGAGGATAACTTGATCTCATAACCCAATTAACAGGTGTGGCGTGTTAACCTAACTTGACTTGGGTTATTTTTTGTATTTTTAATTGATTTTTTTTTAATTTCATCATTCAATATTGGATTGATAATGAATTAGGCTTTATAATTTATTTTGATTTACTTTCTCTGAGGTTATCTTATGACTCGAGTTTTAGGTTTGACAAATTAACTCGGATTGAATCAAATTGTTTTTTGGGTGTTTTTCTAAATTAATTTTTGTTTTATAATTTCATCTTTCAATACTGGATTGATTAAAGATTGAGCTTTATAATTTATTTTAATTTGTAGGATTGAGCTTTACAATTTATTTTAATTTATTTTATTTAGGGTTATCATGGTCTCATCAACCATGTAGTAGATTTGACCAGTCAACTCAGGTTGACTCCAGTTAATCAAATATGTTTCTGTATCAATAATTAAAAAAAAAATATCACCTTAAATTTGTTTTAGTCAAACTATGATTTTATCGGTAATCCAGGTTGTCTTTAGACCTATCAAGTTAATCAGGTCACATTAAGTTAATCCCCGTATGATTTATATTTTTTTCTATTAGAAAAACATTAGTAATGCTTGAATATGTTTTACATTAAAAAACAACTTGATCCAACTTGCGGCATAGCGCAAGCCAACAATCTAGTATTAGATGAAAAAGCATGTATTAGATAGTTTATCATAGCAAAACTATTCTATTTAAATTATATGTCCAATATTAAACTGGAGAACATACAAGTTTAGATAAAAGAATGTCTTGAAAAAATTGAAATCAAAACTAAAAACATATAAAGATTCTAGCATGCATACAAAACATATATTCAAAGGAGCATAAGATACAAAAATACAAATTCTAGCATGCATATTAATATATTTTAATCAAAACAAAGAGAGATACTTACTTGTTGAAACATTTTAAAATAACAAAGCTTTTATTATTATCAATAATAAATCATTTATTCTTAAAACTTTATTGTTCCTCTCTTAGTGCAACTAAAATATTTGTAATAAACCTTCTAAGATTCTAACAATACCAATTTATTTACATGCACTTTTAAATAAGATCTACGAACCAAAAATAATGAACTAAAGTATGTCTCAATAAAGACTGAATTTAAGCTCCAAATTGGAGGAAAATAAAACTTAAAGGAAAGGAGAAAACACACAAGATTAAAGTGATGAAAAGTATATGAAATTTAGAAAAATAGTGTAGAAAACTACTAATAATTCTCTTTTTATAATGAGTTTTGGAACCAAAATTGATAAAAATTAATTCTGATTAAATACATAATAAATTCCCTTCATAATCAGTTTGATTAAACCTGACAATTTTGATTTTTAAGAGGTGAAAAAATTATTTAGGTTATGAAAAGTAAGTTTTAAAAAAAAAAACTAAAGAAACTCATCAAACTTAAATCTATAAGTTGGATAAGATAATATATTGGAAAAAAAAATTCTTTATTAAATAGAACCAAGCTCAAAATCAAGTTTGCAAAAAATACCTTTTTTTTAATAACCTATTATATCCCAAAAAATCATTTTAAAATAAGTTTTTCAATTTATTTTTACAAAAAAATCTAATATATTTCATAAAAATATTTCTAAATCATTTAATAACCCCTAAACACCAAAAAAGAAAAGAAAAGAAAATAAATCAAATAAAAAAATCTAAGCAAAGTCTGATTTATTTTTTCAAGTAAAATAACATTTGAAAACTATTATCATTGAGCCTCTATTGTAAAATTAAATGTATTGATATAAAAAATAGTGAGTTTCTTTACTGAAAAGTAGCAACTTTTTATCAGACTTGTTTCATTCTTATTTCTCTAACATAAAAATTAAAAAAATAAATAAAATAATTTTTAGGATCAAAATGAAAATTGGAGAAAATTCAAGATTGGCTAGTATTTTCTTCAAGTTTTACATTTCAATCCTTTTTATTTTTATTTTGTATTTTATGATATTTTTTAACTTAATTTAATTATAAAAAGATTAAATTGAAAGGAAAAAAACTGTGAAAAAATGAAAAAAAAAAAAGGGTTAGTAGCTGTAAACCACGAAACCGACCCCATGGCGGCATTATATAAAGCTAATTTGTTAATTGTTAATAGGCAACACTAGTAATACTCTGATTACAGATATTATTGCCCAATTCGAGCACACATTTTAATCATAGCATCATCACGTTTCCAGTTCATCCGTGATTGCAATTCGGTATTGCCACATTACCCCATTTTTCTTCTTCTACAACAGAGAAATATATATTCTAAGGAGGGTTTTTCCAAGCAAAAGAAAAAAAACAAAGGAAACTCAATCCATGGCGGTGATTTGCATATTCATAGGCGGAGAGAGGGGGCTGGCGACCCCTGCTTTTATATATATATAGTTTTGGTCTTGAAACTAGTAAAATATAAATTTTGCCCCTTCTAATTTATTTATTTTTTTGTTTTCCAATCCGGCTTTCTTAACTAAAATTCTTGGCTTCGGTGATTTGCGGTAACTTTATTTATTCTGATACATCAACACTTAGGTCTCACTCATTAACGTTGAAAATAGAATATTCACGGTGCCTTATTTATTTACTGGACTTGCAGGATGTTCAGTGAACCGTATGGATTAATCGTAGTATGTGTAAACTGACCCGGACACTCCATATAAATTAAAAAAAAAAAAAGAATATCCACACCACGGCTAAAAACTTCACCATAATTTTACTCCATTTGAACGGAGATTGCAGGTAAAAAACAAGGAGAAAAAGAAGAAGAAAGAGAGTACACGGTAACTGTAGGTTGCAAAATAAAATTTGGTTCAACTTATCAATAAATGCTTTCGAAGTTGTTTGTTATTGTGTTTTATCTTATTATTTTAGTACATTTTAAAAGTAT